TTTCACCATTATTTAGGAGACCCGAAAATGACAAATGCTTTTGAAATGATCAGTTTTACAGCAGGTTTTCCTGTTAACATCCCTGTTAGATTTTATTGCAGTGTCTCGTTCAGCCTTTGATTTGTGTGGATAATCCTGCCCTGGGAGCTGTGGGGGGATGTCCCCCCTTCCCTCCCCCTGCAGCCTCTCCCAGCTTTCCTCTGCCAGCCTTCCCTCCCTCCTGCTGCTCCACATCTTCGGGCCAAGGTGTTCTTTCCTTGCTGGCTGCTTATTTTTATATAAAAATATAATATTTATAATATCTACAATATCTACAATATCTATAATATCTACAATATCTACAATATCTATACTATCTATAATATCTATAGTATCTACAATATCTACAATGTCTACAATACCTATAATATCTACAATATAATATCTACAATATCTATAATATCTATACTATCTATAATACCTATATCTATAATATCTATAGAATATATCTAATGTATGTAATACATCTAATATATCTAAGACATATAATACATGCTATATATAACATAGAAAATACATTATCTATATAATATATGATATATAATATATAATATATAATATATAATATATAATATATAATATATAATATATAATATATAATATATAATATATAATATATAATATATCTATTTTTTATTATATATATATTTATTATAACTGCTGGAGGAGAAGTTTCAGCTGTGGGACTTTGGGAGGGGGTGCAGGAGCTGGAATCTCACGTGTCCCACACCTCCCTTCATCCTCAGCTTCTTTTTTAACCCAATTTCTGCTCCCAGCTGTCTCCTCCTGCTCCAGAGCAGCAGCTTTGGGGTGTGGGATTTATTTCACCTGGAGCTGCTCCGTTTTCCAGCTCTGATGGATTTTTGGCTCCCTGATCCGTGACTGCACTCCACACTCTGTCTTTAGACTAAAAAGCCACAGAATAACCTGGCAGTGATAAATCCAAGGGATGGTGGCTCCAACAATTCTCCCCTTTGTGTTTCCACGCCTGTTTTCACCTGGGATTTCCTGGGGCAGGGAACACTGATCTCAATTCTTGTTCAGAACAAACAGAAGCTGAGATCCTCCTCAAAGGGAGATCTGAGGAAATTTCTTCCTCAGAAGTTTCTCTGCAGTTTCCAGGCCAGCAGCAGAGCCTGGAATTGTTCTTTGGAGAGCTGGAATTCCTTTGCCAGCTGCCTGAGGAGCAGCAGCAAGCTGCAGCTTTTAATGCACCAGTTCATCCTGGAACACACGGTCAGGGATGCTCTGCTTCTGTGTCAAAACCAGCCAGCCAACCAAAACAGAACCATCCCAAAACCCCAAAACACCCAGGGAAAGGGGAGCACAGACATCCCAAAACCCCCAAAACACCCTGGAAAAGGGGAGCACAAACATCCCAAAACACCCTGGAAAATGGGGAGCACAAACATCCCAAAACCCCCAAAGCATCCAGAAAAAGGGGAGAAGAAACATCCCAAAATCCCCAAAACACTCAGGGAAAGGGGAGCAGAACCATCCCAAAACATCCTGGAAAATGGGGAGCAGAAATATCTCAAAATACCCAGAACACCCAGGGAAAGGGGAGTAGAACCATCCCAAAACCCTCAAAACACTCAGGAAAAAGGGAGGAGAAACATCCCAAAACCCTCAGGAAAAGGGGAGCACAAATATCCCAAAATACCCAAAACCCCCAGGAAAAGGGGAGCAGGCCCAGGGGGGGAAAAACTTCTTGGAAAAAAAAAAAAAAGAATTTAGGACGTGACTCAGGCCTTGGCTCATGTCTTTGCTCTTCCCTTGGTCACATCGTTCACACGGCCTGAGGGAAGGAGTGGGAATGTTTCACTGTCCCTGCTTTTATGGAGTAAAAAAAACCAAAAAACAAACAAAACAAACTGCGTTTTTTTTCTTATGCAGATTATGGAGAAGCAGTCATGCAAATTGCTGTTACATTTATTATCCCCTTCAAACGCTAATGTTAGTGAGTGAAAGGCCATGAATTTGTGGGTTGGGATGTTGGAATCACCGGCTGGGTTTGGCAGTCTGGGAATGTGAATTGAGGGAGGGTGGGAACGATGGAAAAGGGGGAAGAGCTCGGGTTTAACCCCAGGTGAAACTCCCTGTTAAAATTAGGAATTGTGCTGGGTGGACTGGGATGTGCTGGGATGTGCTGGGATGTGCTGGGATGTGCTGGGATGGACTGGGATGGACTGGGATTGCTGGGTGTGCTGTCCCTGGCCATTGTTGCATTCCCAGCACATTCCCTGCCTGCAGTGGGAGAACAGAAAACATTTCCCTGTGTCACAGCAGGGCTTGGCCACTTCAACACCTCGAACTTTTGTGTGGAAAGGCTGAGCTGGAAAAGAGCCTGGACAGAGAAAAAGGGATAAAATTGGTTTATTATATTCAAGATCAAATTTATTGGAAGGTTTCAATATTTACTGGAAGGATTCACCTTGGGCAGTGCCAGAGCCCGGCCAGGGCTGAACCCAAATCAAATCCAAGGTGGATTTTGGTCACGGGATCCAAATCAAATCCAAGGTGGATTTTGGTCACGGGATCCAAATCCAATCCAAGGTGGATTTTGGTGACGAGTTTGACACTTTTCTAAGTTTTGGTTCATGCACA